TTATTATTATTATTATTATTATTATTGGAACAAGAACAGCTCAGGTTGTTACCTTCCTCAGTTTTTCTCTCTCCTTTGTTCTCTCTTCCTCTCTCCTTGTCACTCTTCTTTATTTTTCATTCCTCTCCTCTCTGCTTGGAATACTTTCAGCAGCCCAGCGCAGTTCTAGCCCTAATCCTGAATGATAGCATGCATAGGCCTTTTAATGGCTTCTAACTTTGCAGGCCAAGGAGTTCTTCTAGAGGTAGCTGTGATGACTGCAAAGAGCCGCAGACAGTAGCACAACTCACAAAGCACATTCAAAGTCTTAAGAGGAAGATCAGGAAATATGAAGAAAAGTTTGAGCAAGAAAAGAATTATCGGGTAAGGAACCAAAGTGCAAAAAAAATGTACTGAAAGAAAATGCCATGTGTTTCTGCCATATGTGAGGAGAGGAGATGAAGTCTGGGAGAAGCTATGTTGAGTGGATCCCAGGTTGTGTAGGCCTGGTTTAAAGGATCTTTCTTGATGTTTTCAAGAAGCAAAGCAAGGGAAGATCTGCATTCCTGGAATGTATTTTGAGCAAGAACTCAAAGTACTGCTGTTGGGTAAAAAAACAACACAACAGCACTTGTAACCTCATATTATATGTGAACTCATAGAGTCCTAGACTAGCTAAGCAATGATGTCACAGATCCCCAAATCTTGGTTATCAGCTCCACTTGGCATACTAAGAAAAGCAGTGAGTAGTCATCTGCCCATCAGCAAGGTTAGGAAGCAGCAATATGGCATCTTATTATGAAGATTGTTGAAAAGTGAGGTGATTAGTTTTCAGCCTTTATAGAGGGGGATGGAAAGAAAAAGAGATTCAATATTGACACCTGCTGTTTGAGAACAAGTGAAATAGTGGCCCCAATTGTCACTGGACCTCAATGAAACATCAGTATTCACATCTGGTACAAAATTAGGTGGAACTTCAAAAAAAACCAGATATGGTTAAAGCATGGTGGGTAGAGTGTTCTTAGCTCTTATTTCCTTCAACACATTATATGCTTAATCGCACATATTCTTTGTATATAATATTTATTCTTTTTTGCTGGCAATCACTGTTGGATAAAATGGATATGCAAGAAATACCATTGTGGCTTTGGCTTTTATTAAGAAGTACAATGTTATGAATATTGGCCCTGCTTGATCTCTGCCTAATCGTGTGTGCTCACAGCTCCACTGTAGATATTATCTTGAAGCTGTGGAGCCCATCCTTTCTAGGTCACATAGCACATTTGACACTTTTAAAAAATGCAGTCAAACAGTCCCTCATCTCTCTTTCTTTATCTCTCCCCAGCCCATCTTTCTCTTTCACAGACCCACACCCCAATCCAGACACACACACACACATTCCCACTGAGAAAGGGTGAGACACACACAGTGGGAAAACAAAACAATTGAACTGCTGCAAATGTTCAGTTGTGTATGTGTGAATTGAACAGTAGATTTCAATTAATACTGGGTTATGCCAAGTGTGATCTGTTTGCCTTACAGCAGCCTATGCATGGGAGCAACAGTGGGGAGGAGGGAGAGATTTTGGTGGCAGAAAGAGAAAGAGAAAACAGTGTTGTTGTGTACTTTTGGGTCTGACCACCACATCCACCTCTGCCAGATTATCTCTGAGAGAATGTGTTCCACAAAAAACAAAAACAAAATAAGTCTCTCCACAGCTTTCTCTAGATTATTATCTTGTGGGGTTTCACAAGACTCAATATGGTCCCCTATCCTTTTAAAAATCTACGTGAAGAGGTTAGATGAGATCATTTGGAGTGTT